CATGCCGGCTGCTGGCCCGGCTTCTGCGGGTGGAAGGAAAGGGAGGGAGGGAGGGGCCGACAGGAGCCTCCGCCAGGTCATCTCTGCCCCTTCCACCCTGGCTTGGCCCCTGGCCTGGCCCTGGCCACACTCACCCTTTTGGAAGTCGGTGGGCGGTGAAGTCGTGAAGGGCCCAGTACGCGTCTGGACTCACCTGGGCGGCCCCAGGTCCAGGCCGGAGGCACGGCTCCCTCCCGGACTCTCTCGAGGCCCCTGCCCGGGGCAGCCAGGTGTGGGGTCAGCAAGGCCCTGGGGATGGTCAGCCTCAGTCCCTCATCCAGACTTTGTCCGTGAGACTCTAGTCTGCCCGAGCAGAGGGTCAGGCCCGTCACTCTCTGGGTCTCTGCGGATGGGGCCAGAGCTCCGTGCGGTGGGGCCCTGCACATCGGCTGTGTGGAAAGATGAAGTGAGCAGCAGGAAGGCTGCTGGCCTGAGCGTGTGAGCCTTTAAGCTACGGGGAGGTGGGGCAGGCGGTGTGGGGGGCACTGAGGCAGCGTCCTTGTCAGGTGATGGCTGAGAATGGGCAGGACAGGTGGTCACTGAATGGGGCAGCAGCCAGGCTGTGGTTCCTATTGGCGTGTCCGAGGGCATGTGTGCCCAATCAGTGACAAAGACTGCGTAGGCCCTCCCCGGGGACACTAGTGGGTGAGGCAGAGGCCACAGAGGGGAGCTTGCAGTGGTGGTGGCTGCAAGGAGGAGGTGGCACAGCCCTGCAGGACTTGGAACAGGGACCCGCCTCGGGGACCTGCCTCTTCCGGGCAGTCAGGAGGGCTTGCTGGAGGAGGCGGTCCGCTGGCTGGTCCTGGGCATGAGCAAGGCTGGCCAAGCAGTCTCCCTGGCCTCAGAAGGCTTGGGGTGGGGAACTGTCTGCTCCGGTTCATCCCCTGGAGGGGACCCAGGTTAGGGCTGTTTCTTTGATGAGTGGAGACTTCCAGGCCCATCAGGATGTTTTGGTCAAGTTCTCATTTTTACAACCAGCTCGGTGTGATAGAGGGGTACTCAGGCTGGCCTGGACACCCCCACTTAAACACATCGGCCTCGGGGAAAGTTCTGGGTAAAGTGGAAACAGCCCGGTGACCGGGGGTGGGACCGGGCACCTGAGAAGGAGGGGGAGACGGTTTTCCTTGTCAGGAGGGCCTCCTCCACCAGCCCCCGACTTCATGAGGACCTCCCTGCTCACCTGGGCAGGGGTCCATCCCCAATCCAGAGAGGGGTTCCTCAGCCCTGGGGCTCTTGGCCTGAAGAGGAGGCTCAGGGCGTTGAGAGGAAAGGGTGGGTGGAGCCCCAGGATCCAGCAGGAGCCCCTGTGGTGGGCGGCGGGAGGTGATGGAGAGAGTTTCGGAGGCGATCAGGGATCTGGGGCCGCCCCGCCTGGGCTGAGGCAGCCTGGCTGCGCCCTTGGCTGGCAGTGTGAGCATGGACTAGTGGCAGAACCTTCTGGAACCTTGCTGTGCATGAGGGGACACATAGAAAGCTGCTGACAGGGGGACTCATACACATCACCACAAACTTAAGTCGCGTGATCATCGCCGGTCCCTAGTTGGTATTTAATTTACTCTCAGTTCACTTGGCGTGATGTGCACAGCCTCTGGGCAGAAGCGGATTGGGTTTATACTACTGGTTCCGTTTTGCCCTTGGGGCTGCACTAAGTTCCAGGGCCTCCCGCACGGTGCTCGGGGCCACCCTACGGGAGCGGAGGAGGCGGGCTTTGTGACAGCACGTGATTTAAAAACACTGGTTCAATCTCTGTCCCTCATTCTTTTATCTCACAGGGGCCCAGAGGAGAAGGGTCCACAACACCTTCAAAGTGCTTTGGTGTTGGGGGACCCCCACCCCATCTTGCCAGGTGGGGACCTGGTCTCCCCAGGCAGATGGGCCAGTCTGGTGCCCCAGAGGCTGCCCCGCCTTCCTGGGAAGGGCCCAGAGTGGAGTTTGTCGAGACACCGTACCTCAGAGCCCATGCCCAGCACGCAGGGCGACATCCCTGTGGTTCTGGGGTGGCCCGGGGCTCTGCACTTCCCACCGGTTCCTATGTGGGGCTGACGCCACGGCCCGGGGACCCCACATCTGGGCCACATGTTCCCCTTTAACCGTATCTGGGGGCCGAACGCCTCGTGGAGCAAAGCAAGGGGCACCGCAGGGGAAGGGGTGGCGGGTGGGCCGCGTGCTGCTCCTGAGCTGGGGTCTCATGGGGCTCCCCCAGCCACCCAC